CTAATCCAAACCTAAATTCTTATAGTAGTTTTTTTCCGACAGCAGTTGGAGAAAGTCGTTGCTCAGCAGCCCGTTTTTGCCAGAATGGTAGCCTGTTTGTGTTCACGAGATATTTGGCAACCACTCTGGATGTCTCACTCAGGGTTTGGCCGATCCATTTTATTCTTTAGGAGGCTGTCGTAAATTTGACATTGTATTACGTCACACACAGGAACAGCTGGTAAAATGTAACACATTATATACAGATGGTGATTAACTACAACCGCACTACATTCTTATCTTCATTTGGACACATTTGCGCATAAATGCGCATGGCCGGAGATATCCTCCCTGTTAGGTTTAACAGATGTTCAAGTCCTCCTAACACTCATACCCCCCCCTTTCTATGCTCAAACGCTGACCCTGCTTGAGAAGTCACTGAGACCTCACTATAAGTCGCAATACTGAACCGTGAGACAGGACTTCGGTCCGCTGCTATTTTAGAGATATAATGTGTGAGCTGTGCTCAGTATCAAAACAAGACTTTGACCTTTAATATCTTTGTTACACATGTGGAAGGGAGGACAAATACCGCCCCAAATTTCCCAGGTCTGGTGGGAAAACAATTACTTGTATTTGCAAACGGCCAGAGCAGGGACTGGGCCCAGGCAAGCGTTTGTGATTAAAGGCGTCCTTGTGGACTGCTCCTGAATCCGTACTACTTTTTAGGAACTACAAGTTATTTCTAGGAAATCAAAAAATGGCAACAGAATATCTTCCAATAGCCCCAATGCCCATAAAAGCGCTTATGTGCAGATTCCAGAGTTCCCGGTGCGACACACACACACACACACACACACACACACACAACCAGTGTGTCTGGGCAGGGATCAGGTGCTTGTTGGAAATGCCCCGGACACAATCGAGTCTCTCTTTCAATGGATGGGAGAATTCCGAGCCTGGCGTCAGTGAGTCTGCCTCTCTCTCCGCCCTCCCTCTCCCTCTCCCTGCTCCTCCATGCAGCTGGACGCGGACAATCAAGCCATCAACAATTGCCATGCATAATTAGAAGCACCCCCCCTTCTCTTCTCTCCTTCTCTCTCTGTCGGCTAAATTTAAATATTTTATTGTCAGTAAAATGCTACTAAGGAAAGGGATAAAAACTATAACATAACAAAGCCTATAGGCAGCTGTTCACTTCTGTGACTGAATGTGTGTGTTTCCATACCTGCCCCCTCCAACACACACTTATCTTTACCTCAGTGCACCTCTGCTTAACATAAAAATGTCTTGGTAACAACAGAACAGAGTGTAAAGTAATGGGATGAGACACTGGGGGGCATGGAGAGCACGAGTGAGTGAACCACCACACTATCATGCAGAGAGACAGTGTTGTATCTTTCAAGGCCTATTGTGGAAAAAAAATGAACACAGTGAAATGTAATTTTTTCTATTCCTACTTGTGCGTCATGCAGGATTCCTCCTCTTCCTCTACTCCCTGTGTTCACTGTCTTTTATCAAAGATGCTTATGTCTTCTCCATCTGCTTCAAACAGCCTACAATTCCCAAGCTTTTGTCTGCAGTGACTTGACATTTTACACACACTGTTTATTTGTACTGGTCACTCATTTATGTTTGAGTCTCTTGTTTAAGCCTGTTATGTATTAATTCATTCATGTAGTTTGATTTTTACGTGAAAAAGTTCACTGTGTATCAAACTTCATGCACTGAATCAGTGGCTGGTAGGAGGCATGACAAACCTCACATGACTGGATCAGGACTTTGCCTTTTCTGTTTGCTGTTAATACTGTGTTAATCCAATCATGAGTAGATAGTTTTAAACACAGGTGTGGTTGTTTTCAAATACACCCATAATATATGTATATTCAGAACATGACTGCTCAGACCAAACCTGGAAATATAAACACACAGTAAACACAAAAAATTCACTAACTTCCAGCAATAGCTGGATACAGTTCATTTGCCACTGCAAAATGATCTTTACATGCTTTTACCTATGGTGTGGTAATAAGCAGCCATACAGACTTGCATTTTCTCTGTCTGTATATTTTAGCAAAAATGTAGATATTATATTTGCAGCAGCAGAAAAATTTGGTCCCATACTGTATGTGGTTTCCTGTGACATGTATGTAAAGGCCAGTTTAATTGTCACAAGGAATAATACACAGCTGGTAAAAACAGTTGCATAATGTCGTCTGTGGCTGTGGGGGAGCTTTGTTAAATCTGAGGAGTTAACCCAGATGATGTCATAGTGATATCAGGGCCATTTGGGTTTAGAGACTACAACTTTTTGACAAAAGGCCTGCATTACAAACTGAGGGTGTGGAGTTCAAAAGGCATAAGGAAAAAAAAAAAAAAAAAAAAAACTATCATAGAGATGCTACTTATTATATTACAGGAACCTCAAAGTCTGGATATCTCTGATTCTGTTTCATCAGCTGAGATGTTTTTCTCTATACAAGTTCACTATCTTAATGTAATCTAAATCAACGGAGTGTCCAGTGTTCGGATGCATTTTGATGCCAGATGTGGCCTATGGCTCAACTGGATGTAAACGGAATCTGGATAAGGACAAACGATGTATCTTTGTTTTGCTACGGAACAGGAATAACTTTAAATTTTCCAGTAAGTATATGCTGTAGTATATTAGCTATATTATATTAAAACATCAAATGAATTGGCAGCAAAATAGATATTTCTTAAACTGACAGAAATACTTGTTGCAATGTATGGCCAAAATTTGGTAACATGGTGCTTGGAGGAAGAACGCACCTGAAACCATAATACAGCTATAGTTTCACAGTACGGTGGCTGCCCATTGTGGGAACTGTGCTGTTATCATTATAATGTTGTCAGGTGACCCTGCGCATGTCCTTGGGTGTGACTATTTAACTGCTCTCCCCATGCAGGAATATATCAAGGCAATACAACTGTATAGCAGGTGGGGCACAAGCCACAGAAGGCCATAAAGCCCACGATCACCACATAAGGCCAAAACAAGCTGACTATAATTTTAAGTGTGATTGAGCAAGTGGATAGGCTGCCAGCTGCTGGTCACACTATTGTTGTGTCGTCTTCGTTGGCCCTGATGGGAACAGTCCGTTTATTCTGCAGCTATTCCACTGAGAATAGACATCTGGCTTTGTGTAAGCATAGTTAGGGTCAGGCTTAGTGATCGTGGTCAGGGCCAGTTGCTGTAGGCGAGGGCGATCTGATTAGTCATAACACAATCAGGCATAATTAGCTATAAGACACCAATCTTCTCAAACAGCATGCAACAGCGTTTGAATTATAATTACACACAGTCACACAGTATAATGGATTACATTAATATAGATCCAACAGACTATCAAGCAGACGAACTTGGAATAAGCCGCTGTAGAGCTGACACTGAACTGTTGTAGTCTATCAGTGGATGACCATTAATGGAAGCACTGCAGGCCCTAATCCCTGTATTAAAACAATTCCTCTGTTTTCAAAACTGCAAATAAAACCAGAACGAGTGTCTGCAAACAGCATAGACACAAACTGGCTGTGTTTGCTAGTTGTCTCCATGTTGCCAGGGAAGAATGTGTCTGATCCATGTTCAATCTCAGCATGGAGCTGCAAAACAGCAATTGTACATAATCTTAACCAAAATCAAGACCTATGCAACAATTTGCAGATGACTACCAGATGAAGACCATAAAAATATGAAATGCTCTTGTGTAACTGCTGTTATGTAAGCAGAACATTTTTGTTAAATATATTTTAAACTTGCTTGAACTAGAATGTTGACCTTGTAATTAAAGGCTATCTGGGCCTATACTTTGTAAGACCCCACACAGAGCACTGCTCATATGTTGTCATGAAGATGCAGAGTGCTGCTTCTAAATACAGTGCTGTGAAAAAATGTTCTTGATTTAATCTGTTGGAAGGAAATGAGTGAAATGGAAATAAACCAATCCCAACATTTTTGACCAGTTACAATAGTGTATTAAGTTGCAGCGAGTGAGGTTGGGTAAAGATTTGGACAAATTTAGCCAGCCAGTCTGCTCACACTGAGGTGATCAAGACCAAATATGGCCTTTTATTTTGCACACAGACCCCACACAACACAAGCTTATGCATTTTTTTTTTGTGAGGAGACA